AAGCATAGGCAACCTTTGGCCCTCTAGATGTTTTGGACTACAATTCTCATCATCCCTGACCACTGGTCCTGTTAGCTAGGGATCATGGGAGTTGTAGGCCAAAAATCTGGAGGGCCGAAGGTTGCCTATGCCTGTGCTAGAGAGAACAGTACTGTTCCAAAAAAGAAATCTTAAAAAATGCTTTTAAATGACATTTTGTGTTTGAGCAATATAATCTTGATGTCATGGGTTTTTTTTCATTTGAATTATACCTTCTAGATTTTTAAAAAGTTGTTTCTGATGAAGAGTTGTCACATTCTAAATGCATTAGGTGCAATCATACAGAATTGGAATGCTTTTGTAAACACATTGAACTATTTTCTTGAGTACCTTATGAACTTCACCACTTAAGGTGTTTGCTCCAGGACTGCTGCAGCCCCCCCTTTTTTTCTTAAAGGGATCCAGCCTCATTACCCTTCTGATGACATCATCAGTGGGACACAGCAGGGTCCCACTCAGGCATAGGAGGTCTAGGAACCTTCTACTCCCCCACCATAAAATATTTGAGGGGATCGCCCCCCGCTCAAATGGATAGGCATTGCCATTCAAATGGTGTGTGCTTGTTTCATCTTGTGATCAGTTATGGGGGAGGCAGGTAATCCCCAATACTTTATTCAAGTTGGCACCCCTGCCCTCAGGTCAAGACTGCATGCAAAACAAAATGAGTTGTTTTCCGAGTTTTGAAGCGGAGGGGAGTTTTCTGAGCCTGTGTGAATACTTAATTGAGAAAGGGCACATGGTGTCGTACTCTGAATTGGCTTTAAAAAGCAGGTATTGTAATCTGAATTGGCTTTAAAATGTTGTCATAGAGCAATTTCTGAGCTGGAAACCTATTCTGGAATGCTTTCAGCCTAGAAAGAGACGTTGTCTCGGTTTAATACATGCCCAGGTCTTAGTTCATGTTGTAGCTTGTGCTTCATGCATCATTTTGAACATCACACGCATCAAATGTGACACGGAAAACCACTTTATTCACCCAACAGTGTGGACACTTGCTTTGCCATTTAGGATTTGCATTATTGCCGTACAATATCCTTCCATTTCCCTTTGGGGACTCCATCTGCAGTTCAGCAGAATTTCCCTCGTCACAAGTAAGGTCCCCATGCAACTGAAACTGAAATGTGTTGAATATTTTGAAGACACTGCACTTTTTGAAATACAAAGCCTCCACACCATTAGTTGAGGGTCCCATGAGGCATTCTGAAAGGTAAAGCAAGGGGGAAACTGAGAGAGTTCCCTTGAAAATGGATGTCATTCTCAATACTAATGCATACAACAAAATGAGCTCCATCCATTTCTTCAAAGATGGGGAGGAGAATCCTTTAAGGCTGTGCCTGTAAAAGTTTCAAATACTGTTCACTTCCTTGACACAGTTAGTTCTTTCTCTAGCCTGCTGCTTTAACCCTACTTTTAAGAATGAAAACAATGTCTTCTTCCTGAAAATACCTTATCTGAGGACAGCGCAGGCTGTGTGATGACATTTGAGCAGATTGAGTTATGTGATCTCATCACAAAGCCAAATAGGAGGGAGGGCAATGCTCACTCTGAAAGGGATAACATTGCTGCTCTTTTTCATAGCCACTTCCTCGAACCATTACAGTAGTACTTCAAGTTACAAACGCCTCAGGTTACAAACGCTTCAGGTTACAAACTCTGCTAACCTGGAAGAGCTACCTCAAGTTGAGAACTTTGTCCCAGGGTAAGAATGGAAATTGTGTGCCGGTGGCGCAGCAGCAGCAAGAGGCTCCATTAGCAAAAGCACGCCTCTAGTTAAGAACAGTTTCAGGTTAAGAATGGACCTCCGGAACAAATTAAGTTCATAACTAGAGGTACCACTGTACTGAAATACAGAGGTCTTTTGTTCAGGAGTAAGGACATATCCTATCTTCCCATATCATCTGGATAGGTCAGTTGTCTAGAGCGTGGTGTTGATTATGCCAAGGTTGCAGGTTCAATCCCCATATGGGACAGCTGCATAATCCTGCATTGCAGGGGGTTAGACTAGATGATCCTCAGGGTCCCTTCCAGCTCAACAATTCTATGATTCTATGATCTCAGCCAAACCTAGACTCATGGTTGTGTCCTCGCTAACCAGACTCAGCTACAGTTTGTTGCTAGCAAGGTGAGAACTTAAACATGGGATCAGGTTCAGACAATGTGCTAAGCCCACCCTAAGCTTAAAGGTAAAGGGACCCCTGACCATTAGGTCCAGTCGTGACCGACTCTGGGGTTGCAGCGCTCATCTCGTTTTATTGGCCGAGGGAGCTGGCGTACAGCTTCCAGGTCATGTGGCCAGCATGACTAAGCCACTTCTGGCGAACCAGAGCAGCGCACGGAAATGCCGTTTACCTTCCCGCCAGAGCGGTACCTATTTATCTACTTGCACTTTGACGTGCTTTCGAACTGCTAGGTAGGCAGGAGCAGGGACCGAGCAACAGGAGCTCACCCCATCGCGGGGACTCGAACCGCCGACCTTCTGATCGGTAAGCCCTAGGCTCTGTGGTTTAACCCACAGTGCAACCGGCATCCTAAGCTTAGGGTGAAGCAAAGCTGCTGTGACCTTCCTCCAGGAGCCTAGGCAGTCTTGTGTCATGTGAACCAGGCAATTATGTATACAGGTTTCTGCCTGCTTATGCATAATCGAATCGTGTGTGACCACGTTTACGTGCAGCGCCGGGAAGTAAATAAATAGAATCATACCAGGAAATGGCAGGAGACAGCTGGATAGTCCATATAACTCGTGAGGAGATCCTCTCCAGAGCCTGAAGAGGACGTCAGTGAGGGTTAAGGAAGCCCCAGTGGGACTTTGTTTAGGCTGCTCAGTCTCCCCACCTAGCAGCTGATGCATGTGGTAGTACAGCAGCTGCAGCCACTTCTCCACACATCCTCCAGCTTCCGGTTGGCCCCTGAGCTTCAGCTCTAGATATTCTGGTCTTGATTAGAGAGAGATCAACGGGAGCTCACCCCATCGTGGGGATTTGAAACACCAATCTTCTGATCAGCAAGCCCAAGAGGCTCAGTGGTTAAGCCACAGCACCAGCTGTATCCTTACCTTACCCTCACCCCAACTCACCTGAGACCCTGATAACATATTTTAGTCTGGATTAATTTACCCTACTCTAAATCCCCCGAAAGGGTGTTCTAAGGGTGGAGCAGGATGAGGAAGGAGAGACTTACACCTGTTCCAAGCCCTGCTAAGCTCTGTCATGTGACCTAGGGCCCCATCCTTAAAACCTGGGCCCACACTCACCTGTTGATTTGTCCATCTTTAGCACCTCCCAGAAACTCCTGAATGGAGTTTGGAATTGTAGTAAATTAGACTGGACTAAATTATGCTGGCCTAGGTTACACTGGGCAGATTCTTGTTTTTAGGATTGCTCTGTTTATTAGTAAAGGATGGGGTATTGCAACTTGAGCAAAAGTCACAGTACAGGCAGTCAATAAATATACAGAAAAATACAGTCAAGACAATAAAGAAGGGTAGGAAAGGTGGGAGGGAGGAGGAAGAAACTAAAGGCCAAGCTATGTAAATCAGTAAGGTGATTTTTAAATAATGGGCTTCATCTTTGTGGATCTGCTGATCCTATATATCTGGGTTTAAACAAGAAAATGATATTATTCTGCATCTGTATTTCTGTGCCAGTATTTATGCCCAAATTACTGGTGGGATGCATGCTCCTAATGAGAGATATAAATTCTTATCTTGGTTAGGTAAATATTAAATCTTACAGGATGGGACTAGAACTGTCAGGAAAAAATGAAGAAATGTTACCATTATGGAAACCAACAGAAGCAAAAGCAAAGATAAATAAGAACTCTTGCTTAAAAGCAATAATTCAAGGCTTTCAGGAGCACTTTCCAATGGGAGCTTTCAAAATATATGACAGATCTCAGTTCCAAACACACACAAAAATGCCTAACTTCAGAAAAATCCTGTTGCATTTGAGCAGCTAAATAGTTGTGCCCATTGCTGCATTAAGCCATGTATCACTGAGGCCTAGTCAGCCATTTGGAATTAACTTTAGTTTCCAGTGAATTCAGGTGACATTTTTGAGGGTAATTACAAGGTTCCTAAACAGGAAGGGAATGTAATAAATTATTTGCTTTTTTTGTTGGCTCGTTCTTGTTATTTAGATTTATATACCTTACTCCAAACGGGCCCAGAGCAGCAAACATGTCAATACTAAAACTTCTAAAAACAGCCCTTAAAATAATCAAAAACTCCTGAAAGCAATCACCCACTCTCAAACCAATATTTTCAGGGCGGCCAGGGATAGAACTTTCAACCATGAAATGTCTGGGTAAATGTGAATATATATATATATATTAAATCTCTAATAGTTATGGAATTGTAAAACTGGAAGGGAACTCAAGGGTCATCTAGTCCAACCCCCTGCAATGCAGGAACCACATCCCCACCTGCAAGCATACATGGACACCGGCATGTGCTACTGCAGACATGCTCTTCAAACTGCTTATTCGCAGATTCTGCTTTCTTCACACCAGCATTTGTGTCAATTGTTTCCCTTTTTAAAGGGGAAATATATGTATATATCTTGATGTTCTGTTAATGGTAAACAAGCAAATAGCCACAGGTGTTCTAATTTGAAGGAAGCAACAAATTTGCTTATAAATCAAATGAACCTCAATTCTGCTGCTTCGTGTCGATTTAATGAAGTTGGAAGATTAAAAATGATGCTTGAAGACTGCAAAGATCTAATTTAATTACAAGTCAGTTCCATAACAGCATATATTGAACAAAAAAAAATGCCACCATTGTTGCATATTATGCTTGTATCAGCACTACGGTTGATTCCCCACACAAACACACACAGCCCTCTGTGTGGGCCAATGCTTTGATTACTAGTTTGATTGCAATGTAGTTTAGCAGGTGGTAGTATTTAGCATAAGTAAATAGAGCTCTGCTGCATAAGGCCAGAGGCCCACCGAGTAAGGCGAAGTGACAGCTCAGTCAGCAGAGCATGAGATTCCTAATCTCAGGGATATGAGTTCAAGACCCACATTGGGCAAAAGATTCCTGCATTGCAGGAGAATGATCCTCGCAGTCCCTTCCAATTCTATGATTCTAGTCCAGCAACCTGTCCTCACATTGCCTAAGCAGATGCCTATGGGAAGGCTGCAATCAGGATCTAAGCGCAAATGCCCTCTGCCCTCCAGTGGCTTCCAGAGAATTAAGAAGTATATAAATTGTCATGCTAAGACACTTGAAGTTCTGTCTGTTGGTCACAAACACTGTCAGTGGCTTTGCACTCTCCTATGAGTAAAAAGGAGGGTATATTTGAATGAAGGGATGGAGCAACCCCCCCTGGGAGGAAAGATTGCAAGACATGAGCTTTTTTAGTTTGGAAAAGAAGGGCAAGAAAAGGACAGGCAAAACAATAGAGCATACGCTCCAGCATCTTGAGTCCCAAAACAGGGGTGTATGTTGGGTTGGGTTGGGGGTTGGGAACTACTATTCACTCCTAAGACTTCCTGCATGAGGTCCAAAAACGTATCAGCTAGGCCAGTTCAAATCTAAGGTTCAAATCTTGGAGTTCTTACTTAAAGGACACTGACACAGTCTTGTTTTCCATCACTCTAGAATGCTTCCCCCCCCCCTTATTTAAAAGGAGGGGGGACTTTTGATTGCAGTTAATGTGGCATGTTATGTGAGAATCAGCCGTTTCAGAGTTGAATAGTCCACAGAAATGAAGCTATTTAGACCAAATTATCCGATGGGTGTAATGAACAATCGTGCTTTAAATGGTATGCCCTCCTGGTCCCCATTCACTCTTTTCTTTCCAACCATACAGAAATAATGTTGGCTTCCATCCAACTTGGAAAATGGTGGGCATCGCTTCTCTAAGAGCAAGGGAATGTTAACATTTGCTGCCCGCGCCCCCAACCTGCCAGTAGCCACGGGGAAGAGCCATAGCTCAGTGGCACGGCATCTGCTCTGGGAGCCGGTGTGATGTAGTCGATACAGTGGGGAAACCCTTGCCACCTACTATGAGGGGTAATCCCATTTCCTTCAGCAGGACCATGACACTTCTGAATTGCCAATTTAGGCAGCATTCCCAGGAATACTTACCTAGAAACAGACTCCATTAACCACTGTGGGGATTACTCCTGAGTAAGCAGGAGGAACGTCAAACATCAAGTAACAATTGCCCCGCCGCCACCACCCATTAGAAATAGAGTAGCCCAGCTGAGGTGTTATTAAATTCTGTTTGAGAACCTTCCCATGCTGAGCAGTAAGATCTGAAGGGGGGTTGTAGTTAAGCGTATTTGCTTGTTCAGACCCAGAAACCTCCCCCCTAGATAAATTCACACTTGACTCAAAATTTTGTTTTGGTTTTTGGCAGAACTTAGGCCACAACTTCATTGATTACAGAAAGTGACTGGTTGCATAGGCTCTGGTTTGACTAGCTCCCTGCCATGCAGGTAGTGCTGACCCAGGGCACCAGCATAGGTCAGCCAAGGGTGAACACCTGGATAAGTGGAAAGCTGGGCACGGGCTATCTCTGCCACCCAAATATCCCCCTGGACTCAGGAAAGGGCACAACCCCCTCACAGGGGTTGACCAAACCATCAAGTCCCTGGATTCCTTTAACGGAATACCCTTCACATAGGGATGGCAAAAGCATTCTCCCATCCCTATCACTTGAACCAGAGCCTATCTGCAACCTTACAAGTTGTGATGATTTGCTACATGGCAGGTGAAACCCAAATGGCAACAGCCAATCAGCCAAGTGGGGGAAATTCCTGCCGTGCCCCTGTCCCAACGACAGACAACACACGACGGCATAGCAAGGTCAAGCGCAACAAGCCCTAAAAGTAGGGAGAGGTGGGCAGTTGTTCCGAATGCACGCGCCGAAAGAGGAAGCTCTGGGTCACATGCATGGGCATAAATAGGTCCCTCTAACCGTTTAGACTGCGTCCCATTGGCCAGATTGCACCCAGCTTCAAGGGACCTACCAATCGGGTGTTGTGGCTGTCCAAACGTACCCACCCACAACACAGGGTGTGGGTTGTCCAGGTCTCACTGCAATACATGCCATCTTTAAGGGAGGACCCAATCTGATGAATTCCTGAATACAGAAAGGACTTTAAATGTATTCACCCAGACCTTCTTACATAACAACACAGGAAGAGTCTTCTAGATCAGGCCAATGGTCCTTCTAGTCCAGCTTCCTGTTCTCATTGTGGCCAACCAGATGCCTGTTGGAAACTCATAAGCAGTATTCATAGAATCAAAGAGTTGGAAAGGACCACCAGGATAATCTAGTCCAACCCTTTGCAATGCAGGGATCTTTTGCCCAATGTGGGGCTCAAACTCATGACCCTAAGAGTAAGAGTTTTGTGCTCTACTGCTGAACCCTCCCTCATCCCAATGCTATTGAGTACAATCCCCTCCTGCAGTTTCCAGCAACTGGTATTGAGAAACTTCTGTCTCCAGTCGTGGAGTCAGAGCATAGCCATCATGGCTAGTGGACCTCTCCTCCATAAATTTGCCTAATCCTCTTTTGATGACATCTTTTATCTGTCCTGAATACAATCCCTCTTCCGAGTCAACGTGGGAAGAGAGTAGGCGGGACTGGTGCTCGTAGTCTGCACCCCCTTCAGAGAGTGAAATTAAGGACACCTGAATCAGGGCTGGGCTACTGAATATACCTAAATTATGGTGTACCAAATGTTTTCGAAACTGCATGCTGAAGATAAGCGCTGATGAGTTTCTTAATCTCATTAACTAAAAGAGAGAAACGGCATGTTATTCTTAAGCTCTGAAGGTGGGAGGTGTTTTTTTTATGCAGTCCCGCTGGCAGGCTGTTGTACAGGGCAAAGAACCTGGATCTATTATAATCTACTTATCTCTGGAGAATTTAATTTCCAAAAGGAAAGATTTTTCGAAGGTAAAAAAGAAAGAAAAGAAACTAGAATGCAACTTCCCCTACTGAACCACCGATTCTCTATTTATGTAGCAGGAATGGGATACGTTAAGCCTAGGGGCTGAATGCAGGCCCCCAAGCCTTTCTGCCTGACCCCTGGCACTGCCCCCAAACTGCAGCCACTCCCCAGACATAGCCTGTACTAGCCCTGCTTCACAGCCTCCTGGGGTGCTTTTACCAGGCAAAGAATATGCCCTTGAACTCTAATAATGCCTCTTGATGTCTTGGCATTGACATGGATGCCTGCAGAGGGAACGCCTGTGTGTGCTTCCTAAGGTCCTGGGATACTGCACCATTAAGATTCTAGGTACTAAGGAAATTTATATGCCTGTTCTTTTCCTCCTACAGAGGTTTACACCAGGAGTCAGGAACTGCATATAGCCAGCAGCCCAGATCCTTCTTTGAACCACCTCCTGCAGGATAGCTCTGCCTTGGTGTCATTATGCCAGGTGACAACTCGAAAAGGGCTTGCCTTTGAAGTCCTTTGGCAAGCAACTACTTGCAAATGGATTTCAGCAGCGATGTCTCTCATGCCCATCCGGTGATGGGACACCACCTCTGCAGTGGTGTGCGGTCAGTGGACATAGGAGACTAGGCTAGTTTCCCCAAATGTTCCTCTGGTACCTCCTTCCCAAAGCCTAAGAAGCTTCTGCCTGGCTTAGGGAGGGAGGCGCGATGCTCTGACAGGTCCAAGAGCTCTCCAACCACCTTCCCAAACCCTGCCCAGCTTTGGGAAGGAGGCAGGAAGGTTGCAGCATCCTGTCGGAGACCTGACACCTTGTTCCCAAAGCCCAAGAAGCTTCGGCTTGGCTTAGGAAGGGAGGCACAGTGCTCAATAGCACAACATCAGAACGTCACAATGTCACACACGTTTCACCCCCCACCCACCACAATTGCCCTCACGAGCTGCCACCTCTGGAGCTAACTGTTCCCCTTTGAAAAATTTCACTGCACTCCGCTGCACCTCTGAAGCCCGTTTGCAATCAGTTTTAGTACAATCCACTTGCAGCTGATTTCAAAGTGGTAGCAGCCTCACAGCTGAATTCATATGTTTGTGACATCGGGGTAGGGCAGGTGGGCATGACTTGAGGGAAATGAGCACACCAGACTAATCAGCAATTTTCTCAGGTCTAATTAGGGCTGTCAGCTAGAGCATCTCCATCACTGGTTTATGCCTTAGAAAAACACAGATCAGGGTTCTCTACCATTTTATCCCATGACCCATCAAGGAGAAGGAGGAGAAGGAGAAGGAGAAGGAGCAGATTTGTGTCTCCTTATCTTTATCTTTTACTTCTATTTGCTTGCTTGCCTATTTACTTACTTCCCTTTTATAGCAAACAGAATTGCTTCTTACATCGAAGCTGACCACATTCAAACACAAGTTTATAAAGTTACCGCTATTTAAACTAAGAACTGCTCCGTGCCGTGGCAAGTGCACTGTGGGACGTGAGCCGTTTCCCACGTGACGCATGAGGCCTACCTGAGAGACGCATCACATTTCCAGTCGATTCATGATCCATGTCAAAGGATCGTAGCATATGTTGGTAGCAGCTGTGCAAACCAGCCACTCTGATCTCACTCTAAACTAATTAATTACATCTCTCCCCGACATATGTTAATAGCAAAATCCAAACCCACATGATATATGCTAATATTATGGGAAGGCTTTGCCACACAGTTTCAAAAAAACAAAACCCCAGCTGACAAGCAGGTGGCTTCTTGAACAGAAAGAAAACATCAGGTGCTTATACAGGATCATTTGGGGTCACCTCTTTGGTGGGTTTCAATATTCATGCTGCAGAAAGTGCCAGTAGCCTTGCTATTCTATATTCTTTGCAAAGACCAGGCACACCAACTCTATGGGGCCAAAGCGTCTTCAGCCCCCTTGATATTGGTTGAAATGGGGCCTGTCCCCACCTCAGTGGCTCTCCCGCCTGCTGAGGGGCATGCTGCCAAAGGCTGGCCAGCTCAGGTTGCCTCACTGGTGTGCCAGCCATGCTAGGGCAGCCAGCTAGCTTAGGGACTGCAGGGCAGACCACATGACACACCTTTCTAGCCACTTCCCACCCCTCAGAATTTGCCTC